GTCCATTGTTCAGGCTTTGGCCTAGCAGTGTTAATTTGCATTTCAATAAGTCCTCTGCTGGCTGCCTTGAACTAAGATTCTCTTCCAAGGCAGGCATGGGGTGACTCACATGTTCCCCTGTCTTCCCCTCGCTGCTGCTTTTTTTTAAAAAAAATCCATTAAATGTTTAAGAGTTAAAGGGTCACCTTTAAAGCTCTTCTGCTTTTGCAAAATGCCTAAAGGGGAATATTGATAAACCCATACAAAAATTTTGCCATCATTAACAGTCACACACAAACATACATGAAAACCCCCCAAAGTATTAAAGATTTTTGCTACTTCTCCTCCTCGGACTAAAAAAAATTCTCACACCTCTCTCCTTAATCTAACTGACAATATAAAAATAGGATTATTAAGAAAAAATATTTTTTAATCTTATCACTGAATCTGTAGGAAGAACAAAAACTCTCCCAACAATAACTTCAGGGTTAGAGAATCAAGCCATTACTTTATTCTGGTCAGGATATGCAACAGAAATCATTTCATGCACACATAGCCTGGGTGTGCAGAGAAAATCATTCTATGACACATTTTTCATGATTTATCCTTAACTTTTTACAGTCCAAAACCCATGGAGATCCATTGGTTTAATGTTCATTGGTTTGAAGGTGTGGAGTTGTTAGGATTTGGTTTCCTGTTGCACCCGGATTTCTGTGCCTGTGATGTGAATTAGGTGGGCACTCCTGGATTTCCTGCTCAGCCTTTTCCAGACCAGGTGTCTCCAGCTGTGCCTGGGGCAGTGTCTGGGGTAGATGTTGGTTGATGTTTGCTGCTGGGTGTTGATGTTTTGTTGATAGTCGTTATCTTGGTGGGAATCTCTAGGGCTATTCCCAGTCTGTTAAGGTGTTAAGCTTATCTCTGCTGAGAGCTGTAACATCCCTTAGAAAAAAACTTTGAAATTCTTTTATCCTAGGCAAAGGCAAACCAAGCCTGAGTAGAGGAATAAAATAAAAAAGAATTTTAAAGTTGGTATTTTTTCCAGTAATCTAATCCCAGGCAGGGCAGAGTGTGAGTGTAATTGAGAGCCAGAGTGGAATTGTCCCGGTGCCTTCCCCAGCAGCTGTGGAGAGGGCAGGCACAGAAAGGCCTGAAGCTGCAAGAATGAGAGCAAGGATTGTCCCGCAGTGGCTGGAGATGGCAAAGGAGGGTGCCCAGGCCGAGGATTTGAGCAGAGGATCTGTGGGCAGGCCCAGGGGCTTCCCCCGCTGGGGAGCCCTGGCTGCTGCTGCATTGCCTTCAGTGCAGGCTCAGGGGTGGCCTCCCATGGTCCTCCTGCAGCGGGGAAGTCCAAATCTCCAGGGCTTCAGAGCACTTGAGCCGAGGCTGAGGGGTCCCCCCGTGTTCAGCTGTGCTGGGGCTGTTTCTGTGCTCAGGGACACTTGGAATGGGCCATGTCACTTGGCCACCAGAGCTGCTTCTTTCCACTCGTTCGGCAGGACCCAATGTCCTGGTTGGGTGTGTCGTAGTAGAGATGGACAATGACACCTGTTTCTTCTTCCATCATAGCCCAATCTTTATTCCACGCAGCTTATATTTATATGGTTATCAGAAGGCACCGTGCTTAATGCCAGTTGGTTAGGAGCTCAGTTCTCTGGTTGGTAATGGTGAGTGTACACGTCAATCAAAACTTGTCTCTCTAACAACGTTTACATACTTCTACTGATTCTCATGGGACAGATCCCTTGTTACTACAGGTGCACTTGTTTTTCTCCCCAAGAATAGTTTGTTGTGTTAATGAACTTTTCATTCTCAAGATGCTTATGCATGGGAACTTAGCAGGCTAGCTGCTAGCTATACTTAGCCAAAGTAACAAGTCCTAAACCATGATTTTACAAGACCTTTCTTTTGTAAGGTTTTACTTGTATGTAACAGGGTGTTGAGAAGAGCAGAGTCCAAAGGTTGTTGTGTCTCAAATCTCTCCCAGCCTGGGTCTGGAGCTCTGTCACTTGAATGAAGTCATGGGTTTCTTCCCAGCCCCCTCTCCAGGCTGTTTAAACAGGAGGCTGGGTTAAACCCTTCCTCTGGCCTCAATTCTAAATCCTCCTGTGCCACTGAACAAGTTTCATACTGTAATAACCGAGCTCTGCTCATCCATTTGGAGGCTCTTTTGATGTACAAAGCTTTAACCTGATGCTAGACTTGAACAACAGGAGATCCTCCTGCCATCAGTTTTTGGGCCTCAGTTCCCATTAAAGGTGTGGCTGCACAGTTCTGAGACAATGAGGCCACTCTGGCCACTGGGTTAAACATTTTAGCATAAGAATTCATTTAGCATGGCCCTGTTTAACATTCACAAACAATTCAAATTCTTTTTCCCAGTCTGGAAGGGCCAGGGCAGGAGCCTCAGTTAATTTGCTTTTTAAAATCTTAAAATTCTATTTTCCTTCTGGTATCCATTCATCCAGTTTCTTGACTGGCAGGATAGGGAGACATCTCTGGCTCCAAAAGCCCTGCCTTTAGTAGGGACTCATTAACAGTCTGTGAGCCCTTCCTTCCCTCCCTTGGAACAGGGGATTGCTTTTAGACACCTCTTGTCCTGGTTGCTTCAGGGTAATTTGAAGAGGCTCCATATCTAATTTTCCTTATTTCGCTGGGGCTGCCCACACTTCTGGGTTCACTTCAGCCTAGGCTCTGCCAGACATTTGTCAGGGAGTTAAAAAAGCATTAGCTTCTGTTTTACATTTTAGAATATAAATTTATATTTCCACATTAGCCATCTAATCCCTTCCCAGTATATTACAATCACAATTAGGAGGAAGCAGAAATCCATGCGTTTCAAATCTATCTCCCACATCTGCTAATAATGGTTGAAGAAAACACAACAGCTCATTCATCTTTCCCACTTATTCACTCAATAATCAAAGACATTTTTGGCATTTTCCTCCCCTTAGGTCTAAGATTTAGAATGGATCAAGAGGCCCCTCAGGAATGGCCTCCTCGGTATCCAGAGCCACCCTGAATGTTCCCAAGGGCTCCAGTGTGGTGGGTCCCTGGTGGAATGGGAGCTGTGACACCGCTAAGAATCCGTGTCCATCAAGGGCTGGACTTGCTCGTGCTGAGGGTGCTCCTGTCTGTGCTTGCAGTGTCCTTGTGCCCTGCAGCTGGAAGGCTGATTCCTTGCCAGGGGCTGTTTGGGTGGGCTGTCCCCTGGCCAGGAGGGCAATGCCTGTGCCAGGTGCTTGTGGCCGAGGGTGTCCCCTGGGTGCTGGGGCCCCCTTGGGCCCTGGGCTTGATCCCTCAGGGGCTGTAGGAACTGTGCCATGGCCTTTGCCTTCAGCTTGGCCTTTTGCTCATCCCTTCCTGCATTCAGCTGCTGAGCCTTTGTGAGCAAGTGCTGCAGGGGCTTCTTCTGGCCCTGCTGCAGCCCCCCTCAGTGCCTGGGGGTGCTCATCCTGTGGCAGCTGCTGAGCTTTCTGCAAAATCCTTCCTTTCTCCAGGGACCCAACAGGAAATGCTTAAAAGATCATGTGGATCCTTGCAGGTCTAATCCCCATTTCTGAGCTGTTCCTTCCTCGTGCTCGCTGTGCTGAGGCTCCCCTCCCCAGCCCGTATCCCAGAGCCGGTCCCTGTCCTGCCGCAGTGTCCAAAGGCGGCCCCCCCGGCGGGCAGGGCCGGCAGCTCCACGGGGCCGGGCAGCGGCCGGGGCGTCCCGCAGCCTCCTGGGGGCCGGGGGCCACTGCCGGCCCTGCCCGGGGGGTGCTGGGCTCAGGCAGCGCCCGGCGCTGAGCCCCGGCTGCCCCACAGCCCCGGCCCGGCCCCACAGCTCCCCACAGGCCCCCAGCCCGTGCTCCCGGTGCCGCAGCTCTGCGCCCGCTCCTGCCGCTCCCAGCTCAGAGAAACCCCCTGAAATCCTGACCTCCTTCTTTTCCTGTCCTGGAAACAGGTGATGTAAAGGATCTGGATCAGCTGGCAAATTTTGAGGATAAGACAGTTCTGTAAAATATCCTAGTCCTCAGTATTTTTCTTTTCCTCCTCTTTGCCATCATCATTTTTCTTACCCCATAGTTTCTTCCTGCTTCTTCTTGCCTTAACCATAATCCTGCACACTCCCCTTCAGCCAATACCTTTCCAGCACACCAACATCATCCTGCAGTTCCCGGTTGTCTAAATCCCTTCTCAACTTCCCTCATGTGTTCATGTCCTTAATTACCTCTTGGAGAATGTGCAAACGACCTCAACATGCTCACCTTTTGCATATAAATACAATATTCATGGCTCTGTTAAGTCTTTGTTTTTCTTCTCAAAATTCAGAAATTTAGCAGGAGCTTGGCTGAGTAGCAGTTCCTGTCAATTAATAACATTTTCTGAAACTGATGGTTTCTTCTGTCACTTCTGTCTACAAGTCCTTGATCCTATCTCCAAGCAGGTTTACACCATCTGTTTGTAAAGTCACTTTCATCTCATTCCTTTCAACACGATGGGAAAGACAGGGAGAATCCATAAAAACTCACCCAAACTGAGTGAGAGAGGGGGCTGGGTCACCCCCAAACTGAGCCGGAGGGAAGATGGTGTTTGGGAGGATGGTGACAAAGGGGTGGGAAAGGAGGATAAGGGGAGGGGGGATAGCAGGAAAGGGGTTCCTGGGAGGGGTTGTCCCTTTGTTTCCCCATCACTTGATCCCTGGAGGGATTCCCCGGGGCTCTGTGAAGGTATGGATCCGCACTCGGGGGGTGGTCCCCAAATCACCTGGAGTGGTTCCCCTCCACTCAGCAGCTGGTGCTGTGGCTATAGGGCAGACGAGTGTGGGAAAGGGGCATCCAGGGTAGGCATAGAGGAGAAGAGGAAGAGGGAGAGAGGAGAAGGAGGAACAGGAATCAGAGCAGAAGAAGCATGAGGTTCCCTCTCAGAAGTTACCAGGGAGGTGAAGCTTGCCCAAATATATCAGAGAGTCCTGTAGTGATTCTTCTGAGAGGAGTGTTTGGAGTTTGCAGATTCCAGAATGGAGACCCAAATATCTTTGTGGTCACTGGGAGGGCTTGGTTTCCTGGGGATCTTGCAGGATCCAAAAGCTGAGTTGCAGATCCCCCTTTGGGGGTCCATGTGATGTTCACGAGGTACTGGCAGTTGGAGGACATCAGTCTTGGGTACCCCCCAGGTGAGTGGTGGAGGGGTAACGCAAAACCCCTGGGGTGGGAAAAGTGGAGAGGGATGATCCCAGAGCTGGGTGGGACCCAGCAGCCTGAAGGAGGGAGGAGAAGATCCTGGATTGTGGGGACCCCTGGGATCCCTGGAACCCCAGAAACCCCAGAGCAGAGAGTCAGAAGAGAAGGGACCACTGGGACCCTCAAAACCCCTTGGATCATCTGTAGGCAAGACCCCAGAGAGGGGGAATCCCAGGAGCCACAGGACCCCCATCAGCCCAGAGAAGGAAAATCAGCAAACCCCAGAGTAGAGAGACGAGAGAGGTGGATCTCCTCCAAGATTATTTTGGAACCTGGTGCTTCACAAATTTTTTTGGACACAAAACCCCTGGAGACTTCCAGAGATGGACCTCTGCAGGAAGAACCCCCAGCCCAAGGCGCTCACACCTTGTTTTTTCCCCCAAACCAGGATTTGTCATTACCAAGTTGTGGCCAGATGGAGGAGGAGGAAAAGCCCTGGGCATCCCACACAAGGAGGGGCTGCAAACCCAGCACAGGAAGCTGCAGGGAGGAAAGACCCACCCTGTGCCAGGATGGTGACCAGAGATCCAGCCGGAGCTCAGAGCTGGGGGAGAAGTCTCAGGCTGAGGAGAAGCCCCACAAGTGCTTGGAATGTGGAAAGGGCTTCAGGTACAGCTCCCATCTCAGGGAACACCAGGTGATCCACACTGGGGAAAAGCCCTACGAGTGTGGGGAATGTGGGAAGGGCTACAGCCGAAGCTCCAACCTCATCAGTCACAGCAAGATCCACACTGGGGAAATGCCCTACACCTGCTTGGAATGTGGGAAGAGCTTCAGGCGGAACTCCAGTCTGAGGGAACACCAGATGCTCCACACAGGCGAGAGGCCCTACGAGTGTCCCCAGTGTGGGAAGAGGTTTCGGAGGTCCTCCCGTCTCCTCCTGCATCAGCGGATTCACACAGAGGAGAGGCCCTTCTGCTGCCCTGACTGCGGGAAGGGCTTCAAGCACAACTCCACTGTCCTCCTGAACTGGTGCCTCCACAATGGGGAGAGGCCCTATGAGTGCCCCAAGTGCAGGAAGAGCTTCGTTCGCTGCTCCAACTCCATCCCCCATGGGAGGATCAGTGTTGGATGATCCCCAGTGACCCCCATTGGGCAGAGCCCTGGTGATCCCTGTTCTGGGTGATCCATGTTGAGTGGGGGGAAAGTGTTGAAGAGATTTCTTTCCCTTCTCCTTGTGCTGCTGTGATTTGTTTGGTAATAAATTCGCTCCCTGTGCCCAAGCTGAGTCTGTTTTGCCTGTGCCAGCACTCAGGGCTGGATGTCTACCAGTCCTTCTTTCAACTTCTGGGCCTTTCTTGTATTTCCTGTCCCTGTGCAGTTGCAGAGGGCAGGGACAGAGAGGTTTTGGTGGCTCTTGGCATCCATGCAGGAGCAACCTAGCCCCAGGGTTCCAAGGGGCTTGTGGGGCTCCCCCATTTGCGGGACATCCCCACTGGAGGAGGGTGTCCCCACTTTGATGCTGCCCCAGCCCTCAGGCTGCGCTCAGGCAAGCAGAGAATGCCCTCACCTGGGGCCTCATTTTTGGGCAGACCTGAGCCCCTGGACATCTGGAACCCCATTTTTTGGGGTGTACTGGGTTTACACACGACCTTGTTTTGGTAGTGGGGTGGGTTCGGGGAGAAGATTCTAGAAGTTTCCTGTGTCCACCAGAGCCAATCCCTGGTGGCACCAAAGATGGAGGTGCCGGATGCAGAGATTCCCCTCCCCCGCCAGCCCCTGGAGGAGCCCCTGCTGGAGCAGGGGGATGCCTGAGATGAGGCTGTGACCCCATGGTCATAGGAACTGCCTGTCCTGGCAGGACTGACCCTGTGGCAGAGTGACCCCCAAGGCTGCAGCAGTGTGAGGGGGCTGCTACCTGTGGGATGGACTCACATCAGAACCGGGCACTGCTGGAGATTTGGGTGTCTCTGGGAGTTTTTGTCCCATTTGTCACCCAGAAACATGCTGGGAACAGAAGCGGGTGACACACATGGGTGACTGAGGTTACTAAGGGGTGACTGCTGGCTCTGGCACAGCCCTGAAATCGTTTGGGAGAGGGCAGAGGCAAAGGGCTCGGCCACTTTGCAGCGTCGGGCGCTTCACTCCTGGACTTTCCTGCCCGTGCCCACTGCTCCCGGGGCACAGAGAAGGACTCAGTCATGTTCTCTCAAAACCTCCCTGGGAATCAACCCAGAGCCCTCAGCCCTCCTTGTGCCCATCCCTCGGGGCCTCTTGTCCCTCTCAGTGGCTCCCAGGGCTCACCCAGTCCATCTCAGCGTATGTGGAGCTGCCTCCCATCAGCCAATCAGAGCACAGCCCTCTGATGACTCATCAGTTGCCAGGCAGCACCTGAACTGTTGTGGTGTGTGGTTTTTATGGATATGGAGACTTCCAGAGCTGGACCTGGGTAGGAGGTCCCAGCCCAAGGCACTCACCACTTGTTTTTCCCTTAAAACAGGATTTGCCATTCTCAAGCTGTGGCCAGATGGAGGAGGAGGAAATGCCCTGGAGATCCCACACAAGGAAGGGCTCCAAACCCAGTCCAGGGAGCTGCAAGGATGAAAGACATCACTACGCCAGGACGGCAGCCAGAGATCCAGTTGGAGTTCAGAGCTGGGGGACAAGTCTCAGGCCTGGTAGAAGCTCAAGTGCTTGGAATGTGGGAAGAGCTTCAGTTACATCTCCAACCTGATCCAGCACCAGAGGATCCACACTGGGGAAAAGCCCTACGAGTGTGGGCAATGTGGGAAGAGCTTCAG